AATAACTAGGGGCGTAAGTAAGAGCGCCAAATTTGGCGATTTATGCGACTTTTGGCCTGGTTGCGTTAATACGTAAGTACCCACAAAAACACCGAAAATCTTACACCTGTAATCAAAGATTAGGGCTAGATCATACTATTCTGAACTGAAAAATTATGAGTCGTTGTACCTAAGGTATATGCTGATATACTTAATTAGTATATTCCTAGCACTTTTATCATTGGTCAGGTTTTTGATACTCTTGAAAACTTTATAAGATGTTTTGCAATTTTAGACAGAGTTTCAGAACAAATTAAAAACAGCATTCGGCTGATCTTTACTGTATGGTACCCCTTGGTTTCTCTCTGAAAAAATTGCCAAACGGTATTGGTTGTTCATGAAATCTGGAAGCTTGCTGTGTGACGTAGGTTTTTCGGTAACCCTACTGTTGATAATGTTGGCGAAACTAGCCTTGGAGAAAATTGTGTTGTTTCCCCATCCCCCACCATTAAAAGGGATTATTTCTGCGAATATCAAGAAACATGTTGTGATAAATTTAGATATTTGGCTATTTTTTGTAATAGTAACCCTTTTGTATGGACCTGTGTTTGGTTTTCAGTAGCTGTGTTTGCTTGCACCTGAGTGGTATGGTCTTAGATTTTGAACTTGCTATTATTTTGCTGTAGGTACCATCATTGGAATATGTCTGAGGTGGGTAAGAGGATGAATGTTGATTAACAGCAGATGTAGAGGATGGAGATGATGGCAGGAAGCGTGAACGTATGCACATGAAAAAAAAAAGTATGTTAAAAAATTTACGTATCATTTATTTATTCTCTGTGTTAATTTTTGTTAAAAGATTTGTTATTTAATGTTTTTATATTAAGAAATATATATTTTTGGTTATTTATTACTCTCTGTTTGTGTATTTTTGTTATTTTTTCATCTCCGTGTGTTAAGACAGCAGCGAATTTTTTCTGGTTAACATGATAGTTATAACTTTGTTTTAGATTCGTGATTTTGCTGAAGTGAAAAATAGATAGGGCAAAGTTAACAACGCACAATGCCTAGTTTGTGCAATTCTCTGATTTTTTTTCAAATTAAAATAGATCGATGTGTACATGGACAATGAGTTTGTGTAAGTCTTCAACTTCTTGTTTTGGTTTTGTGTAGCGGGTAGAAGGATCAGCACCATTTTGAAATTGGTGCCAATTCTTCCTGGTGTCAAAAAAGAGACAATTTGCCAAGAGGTACCGTAGAGTAAATTTGAACTTAGCGTTCTTCATAACAAATACCTCCTAGACCGAATGGGGGCTATCCTTTAGCATAGCCCACCCAGATTTTTCACCAAAAAATATCACCAAGCATAGCGATAAATGATAGGATGTGGTAACCCATACTATTCGCAAATGCAATGTAAACAACAGTAATTTTCTAGAATTACAGTTACAGCTAATACTGGTCAATTACATTTATTCAATTTCAATACAAATTACCGAGATATTCATTTACTCGAAGTTAAATGCACGGTGATCCTGTATTCTTACTTTTTCGGCACAGCTTTCTCTTAAAATTTGTCTTGCTCTGCATTGCACGAGGAAATACAACAATTTTAATTATAATTCTACTAAAATTAAATATCTAAGTACAAAATTCATAACATTATCATTGATGATTATATAACATTGACATTGTGGAGAGTAATGTTTTGGAGATAAAATTTTTGGCTACATTGGTGGTGAGATTTTTGCATTTAGTTATGGCTTGCTGTAAACCTGCTGCTAGTGATCTTGTAATTAAGTATCAGGAGACCTTAAAGGAAGATTTAAGGTGGGAATTTTCAAACAAATGTAAAGGTTTGGGAAAGTTGGGCATACCAAACAGATATTTTATGCATGAATTAATAAAGAGAGTATGAACTTTTTAGAGAATTTTTGGTTAATCTTTGTATTATGGTAACTTAGTGATTTTTTGGCGACCAACCCTGCTAGAGACACCTGCTAGTTTTGTTTTGGATGCCATTTTGTTTTCACAAAGTAAAGGCATCTTTCTTTTTTTTTTCTTTTTTTTTTTTTTTACTCAATATTTTTTCCAACAATCTGCTAGCCGAATTACGCTTATACAAGAACTTTTATGGAACAAAAATGCCAAAAATTTGGAAAAATATCTGTAGTACTATATTATTTTGTATTAAGCTTCATTGTGTGTTGTGTGAAAGAGTGTTAATATTTGGATTGCATGGCGCTATCTAAAGTGAATTCTAAACTTTTAATGCGTTTATCTGATAATTCAAAAGAATTGGTTGAATGGTGTAGGATTAATTGCGGATAAGTATGATGGTCCAACATGTGGGAATGAAATGAGATTTTGTGAAGGGACATTACAGATAAGTTTGAAAGTGCAAGAATCTGTGGAAATGAAAATGGTTTGGTGAAACGGAGTGTAAGGAAGGGTATGTGGTTTGCTTGAAGTCGTTTGAGTATGGGGGGAAATTTATTAATTTCTTTAGTTGGGTGAAAAATGCCACTTGACCACGGATTATTTAATCTATAAGAAAAGTTTATCCGCCACGAATCAAGATTCTGAAGAAGATTAGGTAAGTTAGTATTTTAATTATTTGAGGATATTATTTTTATGCATTGTTCTAAAATGTAAGGAGAAATAAAGTAATATGTAATATTGGAAAATTGTTATTCGCAATGATTTAAAGTAATTAGGATGTAAGCTAATATGTGCTTATTTATATTTTAAGTAGTGATTTAATTTAATTATATTTTAATTAAATGATTTATTTTGTGATTATATGTTTGTTTTTTGTTTTATTTTAGTTAAAAACGTGCATGCAATTTAAGTATTTGCAACCATTTTTAATGTTTGCATTATGAATTTGTTGGTGACGTTTGTCATAGATAATTTAGAGTTAAACGTTTTTGGATATTTTATTTATTTTATACGTGGAAATGTCATCCTAGGAAAGGGTATATATTTTTTTGCGATCAGGTAATTTCATATATGTCCTTTTTAACTGATTTAGATTCACAAAATTTTCATGTATTTTTTCTAATTTATGAGAAAAAAGCAGTGTACATGGATATAGTGAAGAGTGAGCACAATGCCATTTTTGTGCAATTCTGGGATTTTTTTAAGTAAAAATAAGTCGACGTGTACTGGTTTAGTTTATATTTAAATTAAATGATAGTTTATTTGTGATTTTGTTTGTAGCAATTTGATATACGTTTCAGTTGAAGTAAACGTGCATGGAAATAATTTAAATATTTGACACTAAGTATTTGTAACCATTTTTAATGTTTGCGGTATAATTCGTTGGTGACGTTTATAATATATAGATAATTTAGAGGGAAAAGTTTTTGGATATTTTATTTATTTTATACGTGGAAATGTTCATCCTTGGAAAGGGTATATACTTTTTCGCGATCAGGTAATTTCATATATGTGCTTTTGTTGAATCTTTACATTATGGTAACTTGGCGAAGTTTTGGCGAAAATTGGTGACCAACCCTGCTACAGCAACCTGCTAGTTTTGTTTTGGACTCCATTTTGTTTTCACGAAGTAAAGGCATTTTTTTTTTTACTCAACATTTTTTCCAACAATCTGCTAGCCGAATTACGCTTATACTAGCACTTTTATGGAACAAAAATGCTTAATCATGACGAAGATTAGGTGCGAAATTGGGCGAAAGTGCAGAATCGCGCACTGCTTCGCGCATTTTTAAGAATTGCACATACGCGGTATCCATGTACACGTCGACCTATTTTCACTTAAAACCCATAATTGCACAAAAATGGGATTGCGCACACGCTTGACTTTATCCATGTACACATCGACCTATTTTCACTTAAAAAGTAAAGAAAATTGACAAAAATCAATTCTTCTTACTTTTGTAAAAAGCTCCAACAAAAAATAAATGGGCGATTCTGCACTTTAGCAGCGAAATTGTTTCAAGTGCTTATTAGCTAAAATCACGATCGGAAATTTCCGGAAAATGTCACATTACATGTCTCATGATCTCTCATTTCTCTGAGACAAAAATATCTGTGATTCGAACTGTAATATTTCTCAGATTATTGCTAAATCCTACCTAGTACCTTTATCGCCTTACCAAAATGTCGCCAAACTACTGTTACCATATTATAAAGATTAGCCGTGCTTTTAACCGAGTTTAAATTCACAAAATTTTCCTTCATTTTCGTGCAAATTTTTGTAATTTATGAGAAAATAGCAGTGTAGATGGATAAAGTTAAGAGTGTGTGCAATGCCATTTTTGTTCAATTCTGGGATTTTTTTAAGTAAAAATAAGTTGACATGTACATGGTTTATGTGTATATGCGATTCTGAAAAACGCGGCAAAGAGATTCTGCACTTTTTCCCCATTTGGTAGTTAATATTTCTCAAAGATTAAGCAGTTTTGTTCCATAAAATTTCTAGCATAAGTGTAATTTGGATAGCAGATTGTTGGAAAAAGCGTTCAGTAAATTAAAAGAAATGATACATGTCTTTACTTCGTGAAGACAAAATGGCGGCGAAAAAAAAAATAAAGGGTTGCTGTAGGAGAGTTGGTCGCCAAATTTTCGCCAAAAAATTGCCAAGTTACCATAATCCAAAGATTAACCATTTATTTCTATTATCGATGATTTCTGGTGAAAACAAGATTGTCGCCACTTTTGTAACACACAGTTTCATCGGAAATCTTGATGGTAATCATTTTTCAAAACACGGCGCCAAAAAAAAAAAAAAAAAAAAAAAAAAAAAAAAAAAAAAAAAAAAAAAAAGATTCCCAAAATTTTGAATGTAGGCTATACTGAAGCTGTTCTGCAAATGGTGTCGTTATGAAAAACTTCTCCATAATTAAAGAAAAAATCCACTAATAAATTATCTGAAATCACAAAAGCTAGTACTTTTTAAATTCGAATTTCAAATTTTTTTTATACCTCCATTGCATTATTTTAAATTTATTTTTAGACCTAAATAAATTAAATATTATTAGTTATTTAATACTCACAATGAGCAGTTAAATGGCACAAATGCATATCTGCCAACTTAACAGCCTTTTCGATTTGGGTTTCCCTTATATCTGTGACCATTTCCAACATTTCAAACATATATTGCATTTCCCTTTCCTTTCTTTTTTCCTGAAATAGTACATCATTTTAAATATAAATTATGCAGAAAATTTCATATTATTAATTTCAAATTTATTATCACATTATTAATCTCAGTTTCAGTTGTAAATTACGTACTTCAAATTCCTGCAAAAGGAATTTTGCTTCTCCTTGTGTAAATGGTCGATGATCAAACAAGCGACTTTGAACATCTCCAATGTCTGGAAACATAAAAGTTCATAATTTATGAAAATCTCAATATAGATATGAAACACCCACAAAAAAATTATGCTATATAAACATATTCAAAATAATAAATTTAAATACAGCATAAGCACACTATACTTTCTTAAATTAAAGTAAATAAATAAAAAAAAAAAAACATTTTTTGATTATACCTCTCACCACCTTGCTTAACACAGTATTTTCGCTCATTTGTTTTCTTTCTCCTCTCTCTCTCTCTCTCTCTTTTTTTTTTTTTTTTTTACATTTGCGAAAATCGTATATTTACTTCTAAAATTGTTACATCGACTATGGACAGGACCGCCGCCAAGGCAAAGGCCAAGGCACATAATTTCCAGTTTCACAGTCCAATAGCTTTGGACTGTTTGTACTACTAATTCTTGAAATAAAAAGTCAGATGAAAAACATTAAGTATAAATTTAAACATCAGCTTCAATTTCTAAACAAATGTCTCAATAATAAAATGCTCACAACTTATTAAGCAAAAGATCGTATTTCAAAAATTTTTACTTATATCTTTAAACACTTCTGAAGTATCATGTTTATCTTTAACTTAAATATAATAAATTAAAAAAAAAAAAAAAAAAAAAAAAAAGGAATGCAGATTTCACACTTTGGTCCTGTCAGGAGGTGTTAAAAATTCCTTTATAAAATCATAGGTAGTATATTAACCATTGGACAAGTCGAACCATCAACAGGTCGAAAGATTACCTAATGATATAACTCAAAACTGTCAGTGTAATTATGAAATTATGGCAGAAAATAATGTTTTGGAGAAAGTTTTGAAAGGTGAATTTACGATTATTAATATGCTTTCAGTTATTTAAAGTATATAAGCATATATAAATACTAACGCTTTAATAATACAGGATAATGGTGTTTTATTTTTGATGACTGTAACTAAAGCGTGAGAGATGTATGTTATTAAAAATACACTTAGATGAAACTCCTGCATTTCTATAAAACTAGTTTATATCCAGGTTATGAGTTTGTTAATAATAAAAGGAAATTCTTACACGGTTAATATTAATGAAAACAATATAACATATTCGTAGTTGAGGAGAAAAACTGCAAGAAGTTTAATTGAAGGAATTTATTTCGGTATTTCTGAGTTATATTCAATGGATTATTACATTTTAATTTTTTAAAGGAGACATATATTATTATTTTTTTTTTTATTTCTCAGTTACACTGATGGCAAGGCAGTGGTCATTATCTTAATCGTGTTTGTTTTCTTACTCACAGAGAAGTGCTACTCACTTCCGAGAATTTTTAATTGAAATCTTTATTAGTTTTATGAACAATTTTATTTAGGGTTGCCATATTTTATGGAAGATAAGGTGAAGATAATCTGGGTAAAGTGTAGAATCCCCACTTATTTGTGAGTGCGCAATGCGCAAATTTTTGTGCAATTCTGGGATGTTTTTTTAAGTGAAAATAGGTCGATGTGTACAAGCATACCAAGTTAGTGCAATTCTTAAAAATGTGCCAAGCAGTGGATGATTCTGCACTTTCCCCGATAATCTGGGACATTTTATGAAAAATTCATGTTAAAAATGCTCTGTCAGTTGGAACTTTTGTGTTCTAAGTAAGCTTACAGTTTTGTTTACTGCATGACAGACAAATACTACAATGTAGAAATAAAAGGAAACAAGGACATTCCTGGTTAAAGGAGACACCACATATGCTTATGCGACATTAAAATTTATTGGATGAAAATTAGAAATCATTATTGTAACTTAGAAAAAAAAAAAAAAAAAAAAGAAATACATTGTATGAAGGGAAATAACTTTTTTTTTTTTTGTACCTTTGTCTAAACTATAATTTGGCAATTATTGCTATAATAGAATTAAATATTTTCTCTCATTCTACATATTGTCATTCTATAATTTTTTCTAACTATAAATCCAAATGTAACTGAGCTGTTCCTTTTCTTCTTGTGTTTGGTTATTTCACGACACTCAAGAGTAATTTAATTTTCTGCATATTTGCACAAAATGTTGGATCTACAAAGCTGTATTTATGATATATTGTAAAATGTTGAAAATTGGCCATTTCCAATTCAGTGCTATGATAAACACATCAGCAATCTGAATGTATTAGTCAGAAACAAGCAAATTTCTCTCATATAATTCTCCTAATCAGTCATTCTAGTTTCGTTTGTATTTAACTGTATATTGCACCATCTGATGAAAGTTAGCTCTTCAGCCCAAAGATATGCAGAGCAAAACAGTAAGAAATGGAATCCTGGACTCATGAAACTAATTACCAGCATGAAGACTTCCCTTTCCCTTCCCTATCCAATTTTTCCCATTGTAGCACCGAAGTTTTGATTGTTCTTTTTTATGTTAATCTAAGTATGGTTATAGAGAGGCAAAAATACCGAATTTTAGAGAGGTTATAGATGTTAGGGATTGATTTTAGAGAAGAAAAACACAAAGTATTAACCTTAAATGCCGTGACAGTTTTTTCGGCGTAATTACTGTGAGCAGTCTCACAGACCACGTTAAAGAAATGCGAAAAAATATATACTTTATGCCTTTTTAAGAAATGTTATACTTTTTGCATATTTATGGAATTTGAATTACTTTAAATCAATATATTTTAAACATAAATAATTTGATTTTATGCAGTTAAATTCATATAAAAATATGACTGTTTTCTTCGTTTTAAGGAACAAAGATTTTATTAAACAAGCATGAAAATATGTGACTTTATTGCTGTCAATTAAATCATAATTCTACAACAGTGAATTTAATTATTAATAAATAATAGATTAGTATATCTTTGTTTACAAGGATGAATCGTAAGATGATATATAGCCAAAACACATTTTTTTGAGAGCACGGAAGACACACTGGTTCCTTGCATTCCAAGCATTTGAGTGCTGTTTTTCTATCCTTACGAGGTGGGCACAGACTACATGTTTTTCTTTCTTCTAATTTTTCTTCTTGATTTGATAAATCCATTCTCTTAATTTCTTCAGCTCCCTTGGCAAAAAAGCGGAAGTTATCCCAACTTTCAGATGCGGTTTAATAAAAGGATTTTTTTTCCCTTTTCAGTTTTGTAGCATCAGGATATGACTGGAACAATATGTATGAACATAAATAACAATCTTCGGGCTCTGCTCTAGAGCCTATTTTTGCAGGATGTTTTAGACCAGGGAGCTGAATTATTATGTTATGTTTTGGTGTTCGTACCGCCCAATTGGATTCTTTTTTGCTCCATTTGAAGTGCTTTTTTCCATAAAAATTATCATTTTGTTCACAGCCATTAGAAAAATTATGATATTCATCTGTAGAAACTTTTGCTTTTGCTGTGAATACTAATGATTCTTCAGAATCAGAGTTTTCTGCATCAAAAATATTGACAAGATATTCAGTTTCTTTTTGAGTGAGCTATACGGGATGTTTTCTTGTAAAATTTGAAGCCATATTTATCAATTTTATGGAAAACAAGCATCGGATAAATAATGTCTACCATCAACTAAAACTGATATGCATCTGCTGTGAGCAGTCTCCCAGACACCTTAAAAAGTGAAAAACCTGATAACTGAAACCATAATAAAGCTAGAATTGTAAGATTGGATATGGGACCTTGGGGGATGGGTTTGGGAAGGTAGGAGAAAGAACAGGGACCATTCTCCATTTTTAGGGGTGGAAAAGATGGTTAGAAAATGCTCAGCAGTCTCTTAGACCACTCGCAGCAGTTAAAGAATTAACAACATCATGAAGAAACTACTGCTTATTTTCCAACTGATAGGAGGTCAGAATGATAGCATTTTAGAGAGAAGTAAATTATTGAAAAAATGATATCATTTGGTATAAAGTGAGCATATTAATCAAATATTTTGCACATTATTAAAGAAAATTACTGCTTCTTTTGTAATTGATTAAAGTTTGAAATGGTAAACATTGTAGAAGAAGAAAGACGGTTGATCTTTACAATATGGTAACTGGTAGTTTGGCGACATTTTGGAGGCGATAAAGGTTACTACCTGTCACTTTGGTAATAATGTGAGCAGTACTCAGTTCCGATTACGCATTATTTTGTGTGAGGAAAATAAGAGATCATGGGATATGTCATGTGATATTAATGGACGAATTACGGTTCTTTAATTGGAAAAGGGGGGAAATCGGGAAAAAATCTGGAAATTTTGTATTTGGCTTTATTCTGTGTTGTGTGAAACAGTGTTCGTGAATTTTTGGATCCCATGGCCGTAACTAAAGTGAATTCGAAATGGGTATTTATGTATGTATTAATTTAATGTATGTGCTCATTTATATTTTAATTAGTGTTTTTGAATTTAATTATATTTTAATTAAATGATAGTTATTTTGTGAATTTTATGTTTGTAGGAATTTGGTATACGTTTAGTTGAAGTAAACGTGCATGGAAATAATTTAAATATCTGACACTAAGTATTTGTAATGTTGCGGTATGAATTCGTTGGTGACGTGTAATGTAATAAATGATTTAGAGGTAAAGTTTTGGATATTTATTTATTTTATATGTGGAAATGTTCATTACTTTTTCGCGATCAGGTAATTTCATATATGTTCTTTTTTACCGGGTTTAAAGATTGAGAAAATTGTCATGTATTTTCGTGAAATTTTTCTAATTTATGAGAAAAAAAGCAGTGTACATGGATATAGTGAAGAGTGTGCGCAATGCCATTTTTTTGTGCAATTCTGGGATGTTTTTTTTAGTAAAAATAAGTCGACGTGTACATGGTTTAGTGATATTTTAATTAAATGATAGTTATTTGTGAATTTTATGTTTGTAGGAATTTGGTACACGTTTAAGTTGAAGTAAACGTGCATGGAAATAATTTAAATATTTGATACAAGTATTTGTAATGCTTGCGGTATGAATTCGTTGATGACGTGTATAATGTAATATATGATTTAGAGGTAAAAGTTTTGGATATATTTTATTTATATGTGGAAATGTTCATTTGGAAAGGGTAAATACTTTTTCGCGATCAGGTAATTTCTATATTTCTTTTTACCGGTTTAAAGATGAGAAAATTGTCAAGTATTTTCGTGAAATTTTTCTAATTTATGAGAAAAAAGCAGTGTACATGGATATAGTGAAGAGTGTGCACAATGCCATTTTTGTGCAATTCTGGGATGTTTTTTAAGTGAAAATAAGTCGGCGTGGTAACATGGTTTATGTGTATCTGTTATTTTGAAAAACGCGTAAGGAGTATGGTATTGTGCACTTTTTCCCAATTTTGCAGTGAATATTTGTCATGATTAAGCAGTTTTGTAGATAAAATTTCTAGCATAAGTGTAATTCGGCTAGTAGATTGTTGG